ACAGCAGATTTTGTAAAAAAACGCAGGGTGCACGTTCATGTTGCCACCACGGTGGCCGCAGAAATGTATACGACGAATCGACACGCCACCGACTCAGCTGCAGGGAAGGGGAGTGTGTGTGTATTTCAGATCCAGAGACATGTCCTACTATGCGATGGTGTTGTATTATCCACCGAAGCCGTCGGACAGAAAAGCTATACCAACCTATCTATCGTGTTGTGAGAAACGGACGATATGGGCATCCACATCGATCGGCAAGGCCCCGTATTCAGCCATTCCATTCATCATGACTGACGTGAACGATGGAATGGGCATCTCAAAGCAGGACGGTCAGTGGATGAACATCGGAGAGCAGGCGATAGGAATTGGAGTCACACGAGAGCGACATGTTTGCGGAGCTGGGCATAGACTTCGTGAACCGATGGAAGAACATGGTATGTTTTCCACTACCTCGTTTCAGAGAGTTGCACACACCTTTTATGATGCGCATGGCAACAAACGTACGATTGACCATGTCATTGTCCCACTAGCGGTAGCAGCTACAGTTCGATCTCACGAACCGTTGAAACGAATGGGCACCAAGCTACAACACATACCTGTCGCTGGGCATCGGGATCACCTCCCTGTGCACGCTCGGATTGAACTCAACATAGACATTGATGACGAGATGGCCCCGGCCTGGCGAGCACCCGATGGAGCTGACTATGAGGGTCTGAAGTAGGACAAATATAAGCTCATGGCCGCTCTTCGTGGCACCCGTGAGCGATATGATTTTGCGGTTGCTGTCGAGTCAAAGCTGTCGGAGCTGTCAGGATTGCTTGCCCTTCCCTCCGCCCCCCCGCTCACGACGACGACGGCCCCCCCTTCCCATTCTCAGTCGAGAGTGCCACTAAAAAGTTGTGTCTAGACGGCGCGGCCTGCGCCACCAGGCCTCTCTCGAGCAGCTCCCGATATCGCGCGCTGTCTCTGAATGGCGGCGGCGCGCCCACTGGCCCCGACGCTGCAGCATGGTTGTGATCTGCCTCTCCAGCGGGCCCTTCGGAGCGGATCCGACGAGCTGCGTTGCCTTAAAATTCGTCAGAGCCGCATCTGGGACCCGTGCACTGCAGAGCTCAGCGGGTTTGACCCCGACGCGAACTGCATCCTGACCTTGCCCTCCATCTTCTTTGAGCCTGGCCCACGCGGCGCCCGCGCGGTGAAGTGGCGGATCATCGAGCCCATGTACTGCGGCGACTTCTCCTTCAGGTGCAGGTCGAAGTGCTTCTCGGATTTCTGCTGGATCATGAGCGCCCTCGTCGTCATGAAGAACACGGTGGTGAATGGCGGCCATGGCGTCGACAAATCCACTTCCTCGCCAGCCGCCTCGCGGTCGTGAAGAGCCTTGACCATGTCCGCGTAGAACTCGTTGGCAGCCAGTCCTGCTTTGGCTAGGTGCGACTCCGCGGGGACGAGGTAAGTCGACAGCACCACGGACGAGAGCAGCGCCTGATCGCGTGCGGCGGCGAGGGACAGCATGGCGACCTTTGTCACGAGGTTGTCCTTGTCCTCGCCCTTGCCCTTGCCCTTCAGCTCTTTCTGGCTTTGCTGCTCGCCGTCGGGTGCGCCGTCGGCCTTCCGCTTCGGCGCCAGTTGAACTCCCGCCCGCGGTGGGGCCGAATCCTCTCCGAACATGTCCGTGTCCACATCGATGAGAAGGGGCATGCTGCAGATGCGAACGAGCGCGTTGGTTGCACTCACGAAGACAGTGATGTTCTGAGCCACAAACTCTACAGACCAACGCATCTGGAACCACGAGCTCTGTTATCGTCGACTCTTTGTTTCGGAGACATCGCCCATGAAGTAGGGCCCCCTCCAGACGTCTGCACGCCGCGAGGCGCCCACCGAGGACTTTCTCACATACTATACATTGATTCGTTAGCGTGAGAGCATGCAAGAGTTCAACGCTGTCATGTACAATGCGCACGTGGTTTGCTAGCCCAGACCTACAGCTAGAAGTGGCTCCACAGGGGCCTGTTTCGTCCTCCCAGGGGCACGTGTGCAGACGCTCGGTGAGAAGGGCTCCAGCGCCCTCGACCTCGGGGGGCACCGACGGGTCTCCAAGAGGCCGGGGTCCAAAGGAGCCCGGGGAGATCTGCGCACTGAGGGCGGCTCCTCGGAGAATATTTATATCGACTCGGCGGAAGCGCGCAGCGAATTCGGGCTCGAACAATCTTTTCACCCGACCCCGACAAGCGGACTCAAGGTCTGCTGCCTCTTCAGACACCAGCGCAAGCTGCTCGATATCTGCCTGGACTCTCAGAGCCCACGGGTTAGCACCGGGTCGGATTGACGCTTGTTCGCCGAACGCATCCTCTCCAAGGAAAACGCCAAACCACGCAGCGATCAGCTGTCGGTGGGATTCGGGAAAAGAGCAAATACGTTGAAACCACTTGAGCCGTCGGACTCTGAGTTCGACGCAGAGCGGAATGATTTTCCAATAGTCGAGCACCTGCTGGGGCGACAGCGAGCGAACGCGGCGCGCATCTTCCCAACTGGCTTTTCCTCTCATCGCTCTGCGGCACAGGCCGGCCACTGCGAGCTCCAACTTGCGAAGTTGGCCTGAGCTTGGAATGAAACATTCAACCGCCGAAAGGGCGGGGTTAACTACAGGACATAACGAAACGCAGCGTTTCCATTTATACGGCATGTTAAGCGCCTGCCCCCAAAAAACGCCCTAATCTGAAATGAGCCGTCTTAGCGGCCTGGATCCGCTTTCCGAGTTCAATATGAAAAGACTGGATGGAGGTCAGCCGCGGTCCCAGATATCGCGCGGCCTCTCCGCAGCTACACTCCATGCTACGCAACATGCTAGCTACTCTACGCTTGGCCGAGGGCGGGGCCGAAAAAAAAGCCTCTTGGTTCTTGGGGCTACGTTTGAGGCCGATCTTCGCCAGCTCAGCATCAAGCAACTCATCGTTCTTCTGCGCAGTCCATTCAGCCATGTCCAGGGAGAAGCGCGGGGCGAGGACCAGTCTTTGTGTCAAAAAATCGTCGGCGAATTTAATGAGCCCCAGGTAAACCTTGGGCGGGTTTACACATTGTGCTTCTAAATCACGCTCCTGGGGATCCTGTTGGCGACACTTCGAGGCCCAGCGATCGACGGGGGGACGGAACACATGAACGAACGACTCCACGGCGAAAAGATCCGCTTGAAGCATGCCGCACCCCGTTTTCAGCAGGAGGTCTCCACCTTCCGCTGGGGTGCTCGCGCAGGCCTGCCTATGCCGCTGGCGGCAGAACCGCGCCGCCCCCCCCCCCCCCAGGGCCACGTCAGAAACGGCCTCGTCGACTGCTGGCCACGCTGGGGAGGCAAATGCATTGCTTTAATCTTTAAGTGAGTCTATCCAGTATAAACCTGCCTTATTCAATCGCCAAGATGCGCAGAGGCCGGCGGCGATCGCATCTCCTCTCCTCCTACGGCGCAAAAGCCCGCGGTCCAACTCCGAGCGTTGGTACGACGGTCCTCGTTGCATCGCTCGTTTCAGGAAAGCTTTGCCGAGCGGGTCCAATCCGCGCGCAACCCGGCGCCCAGCAGGGCCAGGCAAAACGCTCTTCTGGAGAGCAAACCCCTGACTGCAAGACCACAGACTCGGGAGAATACCAGACTGTCTGCTTAGAAAGAAGGCGCGATTCAACCAGCCTCTAACTTGTTCGCCAGACACCTCAGGAAATTTCGAGCCGAGTCCAGCACAGCGACGAGGGCCCTCCTCGGGAGGCCCAGCAACCCCCAAACACCACAACTCCACAGGCAAGGACCACCTAGGGACCCCCTTTCTTTTAGAAGCTGTTTTTAAATACGCTTGAAACGACGCAAGATCCCCTTATGGCATCCTTTCTGAGATTGATCGATGCGCTCCTGCCGAAACAACGGCGGGGCAGGAGGCCGCCGAGATCGTTCCCTTTCCCGCGCCAAGTCCCCCCACTCCAGCCTCGACGCCAACATCCCCCCTTCCCCTCCCATCTTGGACCAGGCCTCCAGCCAATCGTCCTTGGTCGGAAGCGCACCCTGCAGGCGGGAGAAGTCGCGCTTGCCGCTGCCGAAGCGGCCGCCAGCTAGGCGCAAGCTCAGGCGATGAACCTCGGCCAAGTCGCGCCGCCGCCATGCCTCGTAGATCTCCTCTACGAGCGCCTCCTGCTTGCGTTCATAGGCCCGCTTGCGCTGCTTGTGGCATTTCTGAGTGATGGCCTTCGGCGCGATGGTGCACTCCTCGAGCTCCGATGGATCGCATTCGCGAAGCTGTGTTCGTAGCTCGCGCCGCTGCGCCTGTAGCCGAAGACGCCCCTGCTTGTCGGCGTCGACGAGGCCCTTGGCTCCACGTTCGAAGATATCTTTCCCAACCTCTAGCATCACAGTGTCCAGGGTCTTGAGAAGCTCCTCGGGCGTAGCGCTGCTAGTGCTAGCGGGGTCGCTGCGGGGCTCTCCCCGCCGAAGCGTTCCTCGCGGCCTAGCGGTTATGTGACCGCCGCAGGGTCACGATTTAAAGGAACTGAGAGGTTGGCGTGTATCGCCGCACAGGGTACGACTTTTTATGCTGTTGCACGGCTGCTTCTTTGTATGCTGCTGCTTCAACCTCCGTATTGCAGGCGCGCAGGACGAGCGTGCGGAAGAGATCAGATTGGTGGATCGGCCCCAAGTGCTTTCGAATCGAATCGACTCCTCCTCCTCCTCCTCCTCCTCCTCCTCCTCCTCCTCCTCCTCCTCCTCCTCCTCCCCCCGCCCATCCCATCTGGGGGGGGCGGGGGCCGAGGACCCTGGGACCCATCCCATCTGGGGGGGGGGGCCGTGGGCTCGGAGCCCGCGATCATAGATGGGAGGTGGAGGGAAAGACGAAACTCCCAAACACATGGACAGGCCCCTCCATCTGTTCCCATCAGGGCGTGAAGCTGCTGGTGGCTGGCATGGTGCTCGTCTCTTCCCCTGCTCTCTCGAGGGGTCGCTCCCCCGGCCCCCGCCCGAAAAGGACCTGCGGTGGCAGCTCGCGAACATGCCCCGCGCGACCCCCGCTTCGACGCCGGCCGCGAGCCCCGGCCCCGGCGGCCTCGCGACAGGAGGCCGTTGCGGCGCCAGAGCGGAGGGGGGAGGGCCCGTCCTCGGGCGCGTCGGGGATCGGGGGTGGCGCAAGGGTAGGGGGGGATTTCAACTGGCTCGATACGCCCGCTTTGATACGCAACGCGCGCCGCGCTCAAAACGTCCGTATCAATACGTAGCGTGTTGGCTCGGCGTATTTGAACCACGTCTTGGCGGACGAATCGCGCCAGAGTTGCGCGTTCAGTCTACGTGTCGAGCTCCGTCTCAATACGCTACGTGCTGGGTGTTGCGTTTCGGGCCAGGTGTGGGGGGCATAGGCAAAGGGGGGACGCATCGGCCTGGAGTCGCGCATTGGTCGCCGATCGGGGGCCAGTCGCCTTGACTTTTTCGGTGACGTGCGGATTCACTCTCGGGTGCCTGTCGCCGACTTCTCGGCGATGTATCGCCGATTCCAGTTCGATGCGTCCCGCACTGTGCCAGTCCCCCCTCTGTTGTTGCCCTTTCATTAAAAACGTGGGGGCGCGATGCATTTGAGGGGGTATTCCCTCTTATCCTTTGGGCCCGAGTCCAGGGTCATGGTGGCTTGCCTTCATCTCCGCTCCGAAGGGTCTCGTCGCGCTGCCATCATCCTGTGCTCACCTCCTTCTTCTCCCAGCACTGCGCGGGGGAGAAAATAATGGGGGTGGATCGGGGGCTCCAGAAAGGGGCCCTGAAGGAGCCCCCTTGGACCTCGAATTTGCACGAAGGGCGCACCTTTCTCCACCCCCCGTTTAATGCGCCCCCTCCAATGAGCAACGTCCGATCGTCTCAGGGCCTCGTATGCCAGGACATGGCAATCAAGGGCTTTGCCACAGCCGGCTGGGGCAGATGAATAATGGAGGGTATTTCGATCCGCGGTTGCAGTGCTCCAGGGTGCCCAGATGATTGTCGTGGTTTATTACGGTCCCGTCTGCGAAATCCCTGATCGTCGTTGTGATCGTTCAATGAACGTTCAAGGAATGGAGCTTTAAGGACATACTTGTTTGATAGTTGTTTTTCCTTCTTGGGCGTCTTGGGCTTTTGGTATTCTGGGAGATTCTGGTCGACACGTCCAGACTCTGGCGATATTCTTGCATGAAAGCACCCCTGGACGCAGGATGCGGTGGCATAGCTCTGGTTCCCGGACCCAGGCCCCAAAACTTCCGACGGCTTGAACAAGCAGGACGGTGGTTTGGTTCCCGATGTTCTGTCTCTGAGCGCCCCCCCGAGCTCCAGGGCCCTCAGCAAACGATCTGTGACGAAAGGCCTGGTCCATGGGAAGGGGTCGAGAAACTCCGTTGCGAACGCATCGAAACACACACGCACACACACACACACACACACACACGCACACACACGTCGCAGGGCTGGGGAGTAGGGGATCCCCGACCTCTGGCGGATTGTTTTTGTTCAGCCCTGGCGTTGTCCTTCGGCCTCGTCCTCCAGTGGGTGCTGTCGGGCCCCGAGATCGTGAAGCAAGGATCCAGGACGAAGAGGCCGTCCCCAGGAACGGGTCGAGAGGTCTGGGGGGCAGCGCGTGCATTGATAACACCACCACGCCTCTGTCGGGCTCGCTTCCGCCGCTTGCCCCGTTTCCAGCGGGCACTGCCTCGGAGACCTCCCGACTGAAGACAGCCTTGCTCCGTCGGAACTGGGCTCACCGCAGAAGCGAGCACCCGCGGCGCGGCGGAACGGAGGCCTCGGACGGGGCTTCGGCGGACCAGGGCTGGCATGAGGCTGGGAGCAGGAAGGCCGATTGGTGTGTATAACATGTGGCGGCGTCAGATTTTTATCCCCGAGCCGCCAAGGAGAGTGGGTCCCGCGTTCCATGGCCCCCCAGAGGATGCTCCTGCCCCCGAGGGGAGCCAGAACCGTCCAAGAGCCTCGATCCTCAAACTGCGATGCCCCTCGACTACTGGAAAAAAATACACCAGAGCAAAACCCCAATCAATGGATGGTTTTCGCTGAGGAGATCGACCGGGAACCCGGGAGCCTGGGAACCCAGAGCCCACCGAAATCGGCCCGGAGCCAATAACCGGGAACCCGGGAACCCAGCTTGCCACCAGAATCGGCGGGAAAGATTTCGCCAAATCTCCCCTTCAGTGCAAGCATTGATTGGGGAAAAATTCGATCCTCGTCTGGGGTGCTTGGGTGATCGTGGCGGTTTCTAAGTGGATAGGGGGTTACAAGTGGATGCTAAGGTGGGTCATATCTGGCCCAACCTGGCTCATAAGTGGGTTATACATTCCCCAAGTGGCTTAGGGGGGTTAAGATAATTCGGCTGAGTGGGTGGAGCCCACGTAGCCCAGATCGTGACCCCCCCTAGGCTGCTCAAGGCACTTGGAGCCCACTGATGATCCAGGTTGGGCCAGATATCACCCACCTCAGCATCCACTTGTCACCCGCCCCATCCACTTGGCACCCCCCACGGTCATCCCAGTTGGGGCGCTCGGAGGGGGGGCTGGCAACCAGTGGCGCTCGGGGGCACGGGGCAGCATCCTGGCGCGGCGAGGGGCGCGCCGGGCCAACCGGGGGGGCCGCGCGCGGGTGAGGGGGGGCAACTCAGGAGGGGGCAAAAAGCACAAGACACAGTGAAGCATCGACTCCCAGGAAACGATAGGAAAGCAGGAGAAGTGGGGGGGGAAGACGAACGCCCAGAAGACAGAGGAAAACATTGGGAATCCTTGGGCTTGCGTCCACGTGTTGGTGTCCCCGGGCCCCTGTAGCAATCGGGGGGGCGCCGGCGCGCCCCCGAAGTCCACAGGAAGCCCACAGGCCTGAGAGGGCAGCCCCGGGACGACCCAGCAGAGCAGACTCCCCGAGCCGGAAAGCCTGAGATCAGTCAGAGGCCAGCAGCAGACAGTGGGGACCCACGCCAGAGAACACCCTGCTCGCCTCCAGGGTGCCCTGGCTTCCTTGGGTTCCGATGGTTGTGCGACGGAAGGCGTAAGTCGGGCCTGTCTCTCTACAGGAGGATTATTCAACAGATCATAAACATGGTCTGGGGACGATGTTTCTATCATTTCTTCGTTTGTTTGAATCTGATTTAGGTACATTGTAGCCTTCATTCAAAATGCGCGTGTAGAGGGACATTCCCGTTTTAACGGAAGGCGTGACGATCCCACGCGAAGCAGCGATGGACGCCCTTGGGTCTTAGGGTTGGGTTTCTTGTGGAGGGTTTCTTGTGGTCGGCCCTCCACTGTGTGTACACGTGCGCGGCCAGCTTCCGTGGTCCTTCGTGGGAGCGCGGTCACCCACGCACGCGGGGCCGAAGAGGGCGCACATATCTTTTCAGGCCACCCCCATGAAGGGTAACTAATTTTCTCTCGCCCGCCCTATGAAATGATTGTGGTCCCACCAATAGGGGGGATGTTTGTTTCCCCATCCCCCCGCGGCGCCTCGTGCTATTCCTGAGGAGGAGGAGGAGGAGGAAGAGGAGGAGGAGGAGGAGGAGGAGGAGGAGGAGGACAAGGAGGAGGAGGACGAGGAGGACAACGAGGAGGAGAACGAGGAGAAGGAGGAGGAGGAGGAGGGGGAGCGGGGGGAGGAGGAGGAGGAAAAGGGTTCAGGACCAGTCCGATCCACCGCCACGTGAAAAGGGTGGGGATCAAAACTAACAACTTCGGGAGGCTGCACGTGCCCCTGCTATCTCACTGAGACCGGAAGGCACCAACTGTCAACCTGCACACCGATCCTGGCCGGGCCCGTCCTGGGCCGGGGACCGTGGCGCGCGCCTCTCTTCCCAGGCCAGGAGGGCGCATGACTACACCCATCCTGGGCCCAGGAGGGGGCCCGGTCAGGAGCGGTGCAGGCGTATCTCGGACGGGGCGTCCCCGAGGAGGGTCGAGGAGGAGGGTCGAGGAGGAGGATCGAGGAGCAGGATCGAGGAGGAGGAGCATCGAGGAGGAGGAGCATCGAGGAGGAGCAGGAGCAGTAGCAGGAGCAGGAACAGGAGCAGTAGTAGTAGTAGTAGTAGTAGAAGTAGTAGTAGTAGTCGTAGTCGTAGTCGTAGTCGTAGTCGTAGTCGTAGTCGTAGTCGTAGTTTTAGTCGTAGTCGTAGTCGTAGTCGTAGTCGTAGCGTAGTCGTAGTCGTAGTCGTAGTCGTAGTCGTAGTCGTAGTCGTAGTCGTAGTCGTAGTCGTAGTCGTAGTAGTAGTAGTAGTAGTAGTAGTAGTAGTAGTAGTCGTAGTAGTCGTGGTCGTGGTCGTAGTCGTGGTCGTAGTCGTGGTCGTGGCCGTGGTCGTAGTCGTAGTCGTAGTCGTGGTCGTAGTCGTAGGTCGTAGGTCGTAGGTCGTAGGTCGTAGTCGTAGGTCGTAGTCGTAGGTCGTAGTCGTAGGTCGTAGTCGTAGGTCGTAGTCGTAGGTCGTAGTCGTAGGTCGTAGTCGTAGGTCGTAGTCGTAGGTCGTAGTCGTAGTCGTAGTCGTAGTCGTAGTCGTAGTCGTAGTCGTAGTCGTAGTCGTAGTCGTAGTCGTAGTCGTAGTCGTAGTCGTAGTCGTAGTCGTAGTCGTAGTCGTAGTCGTAGTCGTAGTCGTAGTCGTAGTCGTAGTCGTAGTAGTAGTAGTAGTCGTAGTAGTAGTAGTAGTCGTAGTCGTAGTCGTAGTCGAGTCCGTAGTAGTAGTAGTAGTAGTAGTAGTAGTAGTAGTCGTAGTAGTAGTAGTAGTAGTAGTAGTCGTAGTCGTAGTCGTAGTCGTAGTCGTAGTCGTAGTCGTAGTCGAAGTCGTAGTCGTAGTCGTAGTCGTAGTCGTAGTCGTAGTCGTAGTCGTAGTCGTAACGTAGTCGTAGTAGTAGTAGTTGTAGTAGTAGTAGTAGTAGTAGTAGTAGTAGTAGTAGTAGTAGTAGTAGTAGTAGTAGTAGTAGTAGTAGTAGTAGTAGTAGTAGTAGTAGTAGTAGTAGTAGTAGTAGTAGTAGTAGTAGTAGTAGTAGTAGTAGTAGTAGTAGTAGTAGTAGTAGTAGTAGTAGTAGTAGTAGTAGTAGTAGTAGTAGTAGTAGTAGTAGTAGTAGTAGTA